GTTTTCTGTTAGAGCTGGGCAATGTAAACCTGTCTGGGCTAAAGTTCCTCTGAATCTCCCCTTGAATGAGTAGATATAACTTTTAATGCACCAAGGGGAAGGGATGGAGTAACAGGAGAAAGTAGGGGGGAAAGGAATGCAATATCATTATTTTTTTTTTCATTCCAGGACTGAGTGGGCATTGTCTCTGGTCAAAAACTGGGGAGAACCTTAAGAAGCCTTGATTGGTGGCTCTCTTTTCTCCACAAACCATTTCTACTCCAAATGAGGAGATCTCAGGGCTAAAGTTGCTGAAGCTATGGTCCCTTCATTGTTTCTTTCCAAGTGACCTACCCTGCATGACCTGGGTCCTGTCCCTGGAACCTGTTTTTGCCTCTGCATAAGTATGATTGTTGAATGTCAGATCATGGAATTGAGGAACAGCTGGGTAAAGAAATGAATCCCCTTCTTCTCTTCATGTCTGCACAGCCTCCTCATGGGCCAAGTTATTACTGTCCAAGGAAGACTAAGGAGGCCAGCAGTGCAAGAGTTACTGTTGTATCAGATCCAGAAATTTGAGGTAAGGATTGGTCACCTCTTAACTGTGCCAGTGGATAGGTATAGGATCAGCAAATTACATTAGAGCTCATGCATCATTCTTCCTCATTGTAAGCCTCTACCCTGTAGTCACTCAATGAATCAATAAACATTTATCAATAAACCTACTATATATCAGGCACTGTACTAAGTGCTTAGGATAGGAAAGGAGGCAAAAGACAGTCCTAGCCCTCAAGGTGCTTACAATCTAGTAGAGGATATAACATTCAAACAAATATATACAAAGCAAGCTATATACAAGATAAGTAAGAGATAATTAACAAAGGGAAGGCATTAGGATTAAGAGAAGCTGGAGAAGGCTTCCTGAATAAGTTGGGATTTTAATTAGGTACACTTTTTTATATAAGCAGTCCTTATACCACTTGAGTTATCAATAAATTACAAGATGTATTTTCTTTTCAAGTTGTATGCTATTTAAAGTCGCAAGGAAAATTATTTTGTCAAGGACCCTTTTGATGAAAGTTTGTATAAAGTTAAAGAAAATTCAAGTGATCATGTCTTAATTCATACTTTTGGTATATATTCATTAAATTTAAAATTTCCAAATTATAAAGAACTACAATGACACTTCCCATTCATGAATTCCCTCCATAGAATCCTTTTTGGGTAGTTACAACAATTATGGCACAGTGCAGAGCATTGGGTTTGTAATTAGAAAGACTCATTTTCATGAGTTAAAATCTAGTCTCAAACATTTACTAGGTATGTGACCCTAAGCATGTCACTTAGCCCTGTATGCTTCATTTCCTCATCTGTAAAACGAGCTGGAGAAGGAAAATGGCTGACCACTCCAGTATCTTTGCCAAGAAAACCCCAAATGGAGTCAGGAAGTGTTGACTGAAACAACTGAAAAACAATATATAGTGACTTAAAGTCGGCAATTGTTTACATGGATATTTATATACATATATATGTTTATATAAGGTATACATACAATTATCTCATTTAACACTACTGTAAGGTGGGTGCTTCCATATTATTAGTAGCATTTTATAGTTGAGGAAACTGAAGTTTAATTGGTGGCACAGTGGATAGAACACTGTGCCTTCAGTCAGGAAGGTCTGAATTCAAATATGACCAAAGACACTTATAGGCATGTGACCCTGAGCAAGTTATTTAACCTCTGTCTGCTTCAGTTTCCTCAAGTGTAAAATGGCAACAATAATAGCACCTACTCCTGACAGTTTTTCTGAAGATCAAATGAGATAATATTTATGAAACACTTTGCAGAATACCTGGTACAAAGTAAGCATATAAGAAGTGGTTGTTCTCTTTCCCTCTCTCTCTCTTTAAATCTGTTTTCTGATGTTTATTACCTATATGACCTTGGGTAACTTACTTAGCTTCAAGATGCCTCAGTTTTCTTATTTGTAAAATTAAGGGCCACTGATGTTTCTTCCTGCTTTAGATCAATGATGAACTATGACTTGTCCACGGTCACATGGTAATTTAGTGTCAGAGGTAGGCCTTTCTGACTCCAAATCCAGGAATTCCTTCTTCAAGTAGGTGGGACAGTGAATAAAGCACTGGATTTGGAATCAGGAAGAGTAGGATTAGACATAGCTAGGTTGGACAATGCATAGAACACTGAACCTGGAGTAAGGAAGATCTGAGTTCAAATATGACCTTAGACACTTAGCAGCTTTGTGATCTTATGCAAGTCACTTCACCTGTCTACCTCAGTTTCTTCATCAGTAAAATGCTAATAAATAGCATCTACCTCTCAGGATTGTTGTGAGGATAAAATATTTGAAAAACATATTGTAAGCCTTAAAACACTATATAAATGCTAGCTAATGTTATTATCAGCCTTCCTCAGACCATGGTTAGCTGTGGACAGACAGTCAATCAACAAACCTTTATTAAATAGCACCTACCACATGTTAAGCATGGGGGATATAGAGAAACATAAAAGACAATATCTTCCCTTAAGGAGTTTGAGTAAGAAGGGGGAGACATATAATAACTATGTTCAATTAATCTATTAAGTTGGAAATAACAAAAAGTGAGAAGGTATTAGAAACAAGAGGGATTGGGAAAGGCTTCCTGTAAAAGGTGAAATTTTAGCTAGGACTTAAAAGAAGCCAGGGAAACCAGGAGGCATAAATGAGGAAAGAGTATATTCCATGCATGAGGGACAGAGAGT